CATGGATTTCATTTATTTTATGACAAATTTAAGGGAATAAACTCTTATTTTTCTTCTCATTATTCTTATTACTAAATCTTTTATTTTTCAACTAATAATCATTCTTTAAAATTAGATGACAAAACTGGGCCTGGAAACAAAGTCACTTGATTTTCAATATGTTTCTTTGTATTTTAACTGGGAGTCACTTTTCCTTTCTGAGTTTCTGTTTCTTTGGTGAAAAAAGGAATAAGTCATCTCTAAAGGCCCCTCCAGTTCTTGATTTCGAGGAATTCTAGTCAAGTCCTGGAACTCAACTGTTAATCAATGCAAACTTTTATAATGTGTTTGGACAAGTTAATGATGGGTATGAGGCCACGAGTTTTGCTTTAAATAAATTATTTACTCTCCTGTGGAGAACTACAGCTTTCAGAATGATGTAATTGTTAAAAGAATACTGTCCACTAAAAAGATGCACAATGTGAGAGTTGTGAGTTAGGTTTTATTTGGGGCAAGATGAGGACTGCGGTCCAGGAGGCAGCATCCCAGACAGCTCTGAGAGACTGCTGAAGGTGGAGCTCAATGCCGTTAAGCCCTCACTTTACGAAAGGTTTTCTGCTAGTCAGGAGGAGCTGATGCCATCACGAAGGGATTTAGTGATTTTCCAGATATGAGGAGATACAAGGATTGAGATAAAATCTGTTCCTGAAAGCACCCAACTATCTAAAGACCTGTCCCCTCAGATTCCCTGGAGCACACAGCGCCTCACTCCACCCTGAATTCCCTCAGAGGGTATTGAAAGTCAACAACTACTGCAGCACAGGCCTCAATATCCACAGAAAGTATAAGTGTAGTTGCTCAGTTGTGTCCAACTGACTCTTTGTCACCCTGTGGACTGTAGTCCACCAGGCTCCTCTGTCCATGGGATTCTCCAGGCAAGAATACTGGAGTGGGTTGCCATTCCTTCTCCAGGGGATCTTTCTGACCCAGGGATCGAACCTGGGTCTCCCGCATCACAGGCAGATGCTTTACCCTCCGAGCCACCAGGGAAGCCCATAATATCCACAGAGGCAGGTGGCAAACGCCCTGGCCGTTCAGTTGTTGGCAATGATCTTTGGCAAGTGCCAATTTGTAGTTGACATAGTAAAGTTCTGGAACTCAACTGTTAATCAGTGCAAACTTTTATAATGTGCTAAATTAATGCTGAGCATGAGACCATGAATTTTGCTTCAGATAAATTATTTGATCTCCTACAGAGATCGAAATGGTGACATGATTTTTCCATGAGAACTGTGATATGATTGTTAAACAAATATTGTTGACTAGAAAGATGCATAACATGAGAGTTGTGAGTTATGTTTGATCTGGGCCAAGATCTGGACTGCAGCCCAGGAGATAACACCTCAGATAGCTCTAAGGTATTGCTCCAAAGAAGAAGTGGGGGAAGGTCAATATATAAGATTTTGGTGAAGGGGAAGTTCAGTGCAGTCAAGCGCTTACTTTACAAAAGGTTTTCTGCTAGTCACAAGGAGCTGATGTCATCCTGAAGGGATTTAGTGACTTTCTAGATGGAAAGAGATGCAAAGGTTAGGATCAGGAAATCAGTTCCTGAAAATATTCAGCTATCTAAAGACCTGTTCCACTAGTTGCCTGGAGCAGAGTGCCTCATTCTCCACCCTGAATTCCCCTCAGGGGGTGTTGAAGGTCAGCAACTGCGGCAGCACATGGTTCAACCTCCACAGAGGCCCATTGCAAACACCCTTGTTGTTGTTCAGTGACTGGCAAGGCTCCTGGCAAGTTCCAATTTGTAGTTGACAATATCAAGGATTAATGTGATCCTAGTATAATTTAAATGACCTTTTCCCCCATACCAGTGAATAGAGCAAGGAAAAAAATAAGTAACAGAAATAAAATGTAGGTTCTAAAGCATGAATTATTCAGAAGTCATTTGAGTAAATTTAAATTTTTATTAACTCATTCAATTGAATCATTACTCAAAGATAGGTTCTGACTAAAATTTAAATCTTAAAAAGTATATTAGGCAATTTCTACTTTGCTTTTTTCTAAAATATTTATTTTTTATTTAATTCCTATGGGATTTGAGGAAGGATCAAAATTCGCCATTTTCTTTTAATCTGTCACCCAAATAGGCACAATTAACATTACACTATTTGTGTTAAATACGTGTTAGTTCTGTTTCTTCCGGTCCTTTCAGCAACCAACCTGATCTTTTCATGCACTTATCATTCAGTTCGGCTCAGTCGTGTCTGACTCTTTGCAACCCCATGAATCACAGCACACCAAGCCTCCCTGTCCATCACCAACTCCTGGAGTTTACTCAAACTCATGTCCATTGAATCGGTGATGCCATCCAACCATCTCATCCTCTGTCATCCCCTTCTCCTGCCTTCAATCTTTCCCAACATCAGGGTCTTTTCCAATNTCACCATCTGCAGTGATTTTGGAGGCCAAAAAAATAAAGTCTGCCACTGTTTCCACTGTTTCTCCATCTATTAGCCATGAAGTATGGGACCAGATGCCATGATCTTTGTTTTCTGAATGTTGAGCATAAAACCAACTTTTTCACTCTCCTCTTTATCATTACATTTTGAATAAAATTAGAATTTCATAATATGCTCTTCAAGAATTCACAAGAACCCAACCCCTACTTTCTCAACCTTTTCATCTCTTCATTAGCTTCTTCCCATACTCACTACTGGTCTTCCCACATGGCGTTAGTGGTATAGAAACCACCTGCCAATTCAGGAAATGTAAGAGACACAGGCTAAAGCTCCAGATGGAGAAGATCCCCTGGAGGTGGGCAAGGCAATCCACTCAGGTATTCGTACCTAAAGAATCTCATGGACAGGGGAGACTGGTGAGCTACAGTCTACAAGACTGCAAAGAGTCGGACACAACTGAAGCAACTTAGTACGCATGCACACGTACTCCCTGCGCTCCTGAAGACTAAGGAAGCTAATGAAAATAAGAGATTTAGAAAGTCAAGAAGAATGAGGGAATATAATCTTTCACCCTCTAGAAATTGAGTTGCTTGGAGCAGCTCCAGTGTGACAATAGGTCTCTCAGCCATGTCAGTGGAACCCTCAGGTACCATCAGATATAATATCATTCACCAGACAAGAATAGTGTTATTATGCTGGTATCCACTTGGCTTCATAAATGGTTGATATAATCATGCTAAACTGTCTAAACTCTACAGAATTTCTTGGTAATAATTACAGTCATTTGCATTAATAAATTTTAAGCCTCACAGGAATTCTTTGAGGTGGGTGCTGTTATCTTTTGCAGATGAGAAAATTGAGATCTGAAAGACATGTCACTTGTCCAAGGTCACACAGTTCACACAGGATGGAACTGGGTTTTAACCTTGGTCTGCGTGATCCAGAGCACATGCTTGCTCTTACCCACCAGGGTCTAGCCTCACACAACTACTCCTTCACATAGAAGAAATCTTCACCAGAGCCCAGTCAGGAGATAATTTTAAAAATATGTATTATTAAAATGTATCTTTTAGAGATCATTGAATGCTTTTCATCAAAGGTGTATTTAGGAAATTTCCCTGTAGCATAACTTTATTTTGTGTGAACTTTAGAAGAAAAGCAATGTTGTGTTTGTGTCTTTATCTCTCTCCAATGCCTTTTATAACACATTTATAACACAATGTAATCCTAAATTCTTTTAAGAACAAAATAGATTATTTTTTTTTTCAGATTTAGCTATCTATTTTCATTTTATTACTATTCTGTACTTCAAATGCACCTCCAGTTACAATTAAGCCCCATAATTTCCACCCGTAACATCTGGATAAATATATAGAGAGTCTATGCCAAAGAGCTATAATGCATGGAAAAATCCTCTTGGCATTCACTATATTTTTCCATTTCTTTAAAATTAGGTTTTACTTCTGTAGTAAACAGAGATGAAATGTATAGTTAGCTCATTCTTTTTTTTTTCTACTGGATGTTATATTTGTTGTTTTCTTTTCTGTCAATTTCTTCCCAATGCATATGTTGCCTCTAATTTTGATTAAAAAAAGGTTCTCATCCTAGTGAGAGTGCTTAAGTACTAATTATTTTCCCTTATTGTGTAAAAGAACATATGTTCATTTATTTTTTAATTTCCCAAATTACTCTGTATTCATCTCCTGGTGATCTCAGGCCTATTAAACAATACATCAAAGTGTGTGCAGGAGATGATGTTGAGTTTGATTGCTTAAAGGACTGCCAAAACAAATCCTTCTAAAATAGCAAACCCTTCCATATTTCATTAAGAAAACTTGTGTCCCTGAAGTTTCATAATTTGATGCAACACCTAAAAATTTAAGTGGCATCTGGAAATTTCAGACTCAGTAATTTACATGATACACACGACATTAATCTTGGTGGAATGAAGACATTTCACAAAATTCCCATGCTTTCATTGTAGTTTACTTGCCAATTATCATGAAGAAAGTCACTGTAGAAAGCGTGTTTTCTTACAAGGGAATTTTAATAGGACATAATATTTAACCAACTAACTAATTTCAACTATGCAAAAATCAACCTCCCAGAAATGTGAAAGCTATACTTGGTAGAGTTGTGATACCAATCATTTCTTCAAATTCTGACTTAAATTGGAATTACTTTCCCTAAGAAGCCTCAAGCATTTTCTTTGCAGACCAGCACTTTTTATCATATCCTTGTTTTTACAAGGCTGATAGCAATAACAATTTTTCCCACTGCTTTACAGATACTGTATTTTTTTTGAGAAATCTCATATGATCACTTTGATAGACTATGTTTGAAAGTCCCATGTTTTTGCAAAGTATAATATCTTATGACATAGTTTATATTTTGTTTTCTAGTTGAAAACTTCTTGTCCACAATGGTCCAGAAGAATATATAAATATTGCATCACACAGATACATTTGCCAGAACAACTTGCCTAAGAGATAAAACAACTAAATGTTTGACAAGTTAAAATTTTCATCACTGAGAATGTTCTTTTTTTGTGTGTGTGGGTTACAATAACCTTGGATGTGAGAACTACACACTGACTTCTAAATGATGCAGTGGTGGAGTAAAGCTAAAAGAGAAAAAAATATATGTTTTGCTAAATTCCATGAACATTTTGCTGACATATATTTATTTCTTTTAACCTTCTTTCCTCTAGCTTTTCATTAGTAGAATTCTAAGGAGAGTACTGCACAGAAGTTTTCACCTTGAACTGTAGATATTCTATAGTGGGTTGCTCCCAAAGCTGAATGTTGAAAATTAACATGGTACAAGGCATGTGTTCAGTACCAGAGATGGAAATAATAATCCAACTAAGGTTTCATTCTTTGCCACAGTGGATGCTGCTTTTCCTCACCAAGCAGAAGACAATTTCTGGTCTCCCCACCTTACCCACATCTTTCTCAGGAGCACCTAGAAAAGGCAGTGGATAAAACCTGAGGTTAAGTACAACCTTCTTATTTCTTGAAGGAGTTTTCTACTTGGCTTGAAGCATTCTATAGTCTCATAGCAGCCAACACTCAATATAAATCTGTCAAAACTCTTAAGCTGAATTTTCTTACAATTTTCACAACCTTTGGCTTTCCCGGTGGCTCAGACAGTAAAGAATCCATCTACAATGCAGAAGGCATGCGTTCAATCCCTTGGTTTTCCAACCCAGGATCCCCTGGAGAAGGGAATGGCAATGAACTCCAGTCTTCTTGCCTGGAGAATCCCATGAACACCGGAGCCGGGCAAGCTACAGTCCATAGAGTTGCAAAGATTCAGAATCGATTGAGTGACTAACATTTTTTGGCACCCCATCTTACTTCCTTGCTTGCTTTCTACAGATGAGCCAGGGGTCTGATCTTGTCTCTGTTTGGAGGGACCTGTATTCTCTTAGAGTTTGGACTATTTGACTGCCTGTGGCCTCAGCAATTTACTGGGTTCAAGCAGTTAAAGTGAGATAAAGAACAACAGACTGGTTCAAAATTGGGAAAGGAGTACGTCAAGGCTGTATACTTTCACCTTGTTTATTTAACTTATATGCAGGGTACATCATGTGAAATATAAAGATGGTTGAATCACAAGAGGGAATTAAGATTTCCAGGAGAAATATCAACAACCTTAGATATGCAGATGATACACGCTAGAGCTCCCCCAGTAGCTCAGCTGGTAAAGAATCCACCTGCAATGCAGAAGGCCCCAGTTTGATTCCTGGATCAGGAAGACCCCCTGGAGAACAGATAAGCTGCCCACCCCAGCATTCTTGAGCTTCCCTGGGGGCTCCACCAGTGAAGAATCAGCCGGCAATATGATTTTTCTAGTAGTCATGTATGGATGTAAGAGTTGGACCATAAAGAAGGCTGAGTGCTGAAGCTTTCAAGCTGTGGTGTTGGAGAAGACTCTTGAGGGTCTTTTGGACAGCAAGGAGATCAAACCAGTCAATCCTAATAGAAATCAACTCTGAATATTCACTGGTAGGACAAATGATGAAGCTGAAGCTCCAATACTTTGGCCACCTTATGTGAAGAGATAGATCATTGGAAAAGACCCTGATGCTGGGAAATATTGAAGGCAAAAGGAGAAGAGTGTGGCAGATGATGAAGGGGTTAGATAACATCACTGACTCAGTGGAGATAAATTTGAGCAAACTCCAGGAGATAGTGGAGGACAGGGAAGACTGGCATGCTGCAGTCCATGGGGTTGCAAAGAGTCAGACACAACTTAACAACTGAACAACAAATTATCCAACTTGTCATTTTTAGGGATGGGGAGCAGTGCTCTTTCAAGTTTTCTGTATCCTAAGACAAAACTAAAGCCTTTCTCAACTGATTCTGAAAATATGACTTCTAGGATTAAATATTGGAGAAGGAAATGGCAGCCCAGTCCAGTGTTCTTGCCTGGAGAATCCCAGGGATGGTGGAGCCTGGTAGGCTGCCATCTATGGGGTCTCACAGGGTCGGACACGACTGAAGCAACTTAGCAGCAGCAGCAGGATTAAATATAATACAAGGTACACTGACAATTTATTAAGAACAATTTATGCATTTTAAGTTTTAAAATTTTTTAAAATACTTAGTCAACATTCGTTTTCTTCATCTTGAGTTCTTTGAAATTGATAAACAAAAAAGGAGAAGAATTAATGATGCAGAAAATACTAGACTATTGAGCAAATAATTGAACCTATTTCATACTCAGGATCCACTATTGGTATCATTAAATCAATATATGGATGACAAGATCATTGATTCTTTTTAGCATCAAAATTTATTTTTATTTTGATGTAACCCATAAATGCCTTTTCAAAATCTTAGATTCTTTAAGAAAATAATATTAAATAGTGTGTTCAACACATGTTAATGACTTGATATAATTATTTAACAACAAAACAGCTTTAATTCAATGAATCTAATAGGACAATTTTAATTCATGAATTGTCATAGTAAATTATAAGTTGTAATAGTTCTTTAGTCAGATACTAAAGTAATTTCAACTATTTTTCTCCTGAGACTTAAATAATTCAAATAAGTTGTGTTTACAAAATATAGACAATATTATTATTAAAAGTAAAATTTAATTTTCAGCATTTAAAAAGATTAGCTTGTACAAATTGCTTCATAATTTCATTCTAAATTTAATTTAATCTGTATTAAGAAAATGGGGAATAAGACTTTGAAGAAATGTTTTTTCTCATTAAAAACTTTGCAATCTAATAGAAACTGAAAAGAAATAGAATGAATTTGGTGTTTAAAAACATAACTTTACACTGTAATTCAGCAACTTTTTTCAACAAATATTTAAATAGTATCATCTTTGGCCACATACTGTGTTGGGTGCAGACAGACACAAACATAAGGAGAGTGGTAGAATCCTAAGAGATCAAAAACTATAAATGTGACTTCATAAAAAATTATAAAATGATTGGGAAAAAAACACCAAAAACAAAGTCAAAAAGTCAAATATGCATGTATGACCAAAAAGTCAATTTTATTCATATATAAAATCTTCTAAAAGCAAGATCCTAACAGCTCAAAGCCTGGTTGAAAATGGGTGAAGTGACTTGGAAAGTATATATAAAAGGAAAAACAAATCAGTTTTAAACTTGTGAAAAGACATATAACCTCACTTGTAATAAATGAAATGGAAAATTAAGCTAAAGTTGTAAATTTTTTTTCATTCACACTGGTAAGAATTTTTTAAAAATGTTACAACTTCTGTTAACAATGAGGAAAGGAAACAGGCAACCTCATACATTACTGGTAGGAGAACAAATTGATGTAACATCTTTGAAGATAATTTTGTCAATATTAATCAAAGAATAAAATAAGTAAATCACTTCCAACAATTTATTTTCCTCTTCAAGCATCTAAAAGTGTAAGATTGTGTGTGTTCATTGAAACATGTTTGTTTACAATAACCAAAATATGTGGAAGTATATCAAATATCTGCTAATAGGGGACATTCATTCCATAATATATTTGCAAAATGAAATTTAAAACTACATGTATCCTGTAACAAATATATAATCATACATTTATAGAGGAGGCTAATGTCTCTTCCTATCAAATGTATATTATACATAAAATTAAAACAAAAAGGATCTCAGTAACATAGATAGAAGATGAGTATCTTAGTTTGGGTGGTATACTCAAAATGCAATTAAGAAATAAAGTCAGTTGGTGTCATTTGGATATAATAAGTCAGAAAAATATATAAGATCACGAGTATTTCTGGCTTAGTATCTGCCTGGTCAAGTGATCATTATCTCAGGTGTCTCTGGTGGCTGAGTGGTAAAGAATCCACTTGCCAAGGCAGGAGATACGGGTTCAATCCCTGGTCCAAGAAGATCCCACATACCACAGGACAGCTAAGCCCTTACACCACAACTACTGAGCCTGTGCTCTAGAGCATGGAAACCACGACTACTAAGCCCCAAGTGCCTGAGAGCCTGTGCTGCCAAACAAGAGAAGCCATCACAATCAGAGCCTGTGCACCTCGACTGGAGAGTAGCCCCTGCTTGCTGCAACTAGACAAAAGGCTGGCAGTAATGAAGATCCAGCACAACCAAAAATTAATAAATACATAGATTATGTGTATCTCAAAAACATTTTATCTCATATATTTTAAAAAAAAATTATTCCATTTATTTGAACTAGAAAAAAAATTTGCCATTATCTCTCACATGTGAATATTTATTGCTATAAATGAAATATCTTTTTTTTTTCACATTTAGGGAAAGTTCTTATTTACAGTAAACAAAAATAAATGAGAAATATATTTACCTGGCAGTGAAAGGCATTATCCACTGGCCCACGGGAAAGCAGCAGAACCAGGAGGTCCTGAGGCTAGTTACATTAATGTATCACAGTCTGGGTTGTGATTGAAGGTAGAGTGCCCCATAACAGACTCCTGGCCATAGATGGAGTTTGTATTTATCTTGTAAAAATTTCTTTCATTCAAAAATTAATAACTTTAAAAATATTTCTCTCTATAAAAGTATTAGAAAATATATTTAAATTATTAACATATTATAACCAGCAAAATATGATTTCCTTTAAATGTAAAATTTTTACAAAGATTAAGTAAGTATTTTCTACTTTAGCATCTCTTATAAAATATGACCTATAGCCATCCTGCCATGTATCCTACACAAAAAGTGACAGAAACACAAGATAGATATCTCTGTTCCTCCCTGCTTGGGTATGTCTAAATCCACTTCTTTCAACTTGGCTAAGACTTTTTTTCCTAGTTCCAACATTAACTACTTTTAATTCATTAGTTTGGTAAACTGCTTTTAGTTCATTAGTTTGGTACACTATGATAATAAATAATACAGAACATATTCCATACCTTAAAGACTAGCCATAAAATTTCAGACATATAGTACATTTCTAAAACAGTCTCTCCAGTGGATCTAAGCCAAATGTGACTCAACTGAACAAGGATTACTCACAGAACACTGTGCTTTTATTTCCTTACTTCTCACCCACTTTTCAGTGTTTTTAGCAGCCAAAAGATGTAAATGAAAGTGTATGTATTTTTTCTTATTTAATTGACATTTCTGAAAAAAGTTTTTAGTAACCAAGTTTCTAATGAATATATATCCATGCAGAAAAGTTTGTTCTTTAAGAAAACTAAGGATTAAATCTTTTAGAGTTGTAAATCACAGCATCTGACTTTTCTCTTTCCAAATATTTAAGTTATACAATGGATCCCTTTTTTCATATGGTATAGCAAAGTAACATGATGTGACTTACTTATTTCATTCATGAAGATTAATATTGCAAATCTGTAACATCATTTTACGTACAGTTAGAGTGAACAAAAATCCAATAAACTTTCCTAAATATAAATTGAAGGAATATAGAGCAAGTCATTCTCTCAAAATGTTGTTAATTTATGAAACTTACCTCTTGAGAGTTTTGTTGTAGGAAAACCAGGCACCTTCCAGGGCCTGAAACTGGACTCTTGTCTAACACTCAGAAATGAATTGTCTGAGGATTCTGAGGAGACACATGTGCTGACAAAGGAAGATTTTATTGGGAAAGGGCCCCCGGGTAGAGACAGTAGAGTAAGGGGACCCGGGAGAACAGCTCTGCCACGTGGCTCTGGCTCGCAGTCATGGTGATGGATTAGTTTCCGGGTTGTCTTTAGCCAATCATTCGGACTCAGAGTCCTTTCTGGTAGTGCATGCCTTGTTCAGCCAAGATGGATGCCAGTGAAAAGCATTCTGGGAGGTGGTCGGACATATGGTGTCTCCTTTTGACCTTTCCAGAACTCTTCTGGTTGGTGGAGGCTTATTAGTTCTGTGTTCCTTACCAGGACCTCCTGTTGTAAGACAACTCATGCAAATGGCTATTATGGTGCCTGGCCAGGGTGGGCGGTTTTGGTCAGTGTGCTTCCCCTAACAGTTTGGCTTATTCCATCAGATAATCTGGGAGTTTCTCAATATTTAAGCATAGAATTTCCATATGATTCAGCAAATCCACTCCTAGGTATACACCCAAGAAAGATGAAGACATATATTCACACACATTAAATAACTTATACACCAATGCTTTAGAAGCATTATTCATACAAGCCAGAAGGTAGAAACAATGGAAATGCTCATTATCTGAAAGTTGATAGAAAAAGCATAGTATATCAATAAATATTATTTCACCATAAGAAAGTACATACTGACACATAGATCAATCATGATATATGATGCTACATGAAAGAAGAAAGCCACAAAAAACTACATACCATATGATTCGTTCATGTGAAAATCCATTAATAGGAAAATCTTATGGATCACAGTCTTGTAATGAAAGAGCTTGTGTAATTCAGTGAAGCTATCAGCCATGCCTTGCATGGCCACCGAAGATGGACAGATCATAGTGAAGTGTTCTGACAAAATGTGGTCCACTGGAAGAAAGAATGCAAAACACTCCAGCATTCTTGCCTTGAGAAAGAACCCTATGAACAGTATGAAAAAGCATAAGGATACGACACGTGAAGATGAGCCCTCCAGGTCAGGTGTCCAATATGCTACTGGGGAAGAGCAGAGGGCTGGCTCCAGAAAGAACTGAGAGGGTAACAGGCAGGAAGGCCAGGGGTCTCCAAACAGAGGAAATAGTCTACAAGTGTCAGATATTTTTTTATCTCTCTCTTAAGTGGCAGGAGGAAACAAGCTACAAGTGTTAAGATATTTTTTCCCCCTTCTCTATACAAATTTAAACAAAGGTTTCTTTTAATATTCTGTGTTGCCATGACAACACTTGGTTCCACCTGAACTTAACTTTTCTCAAACCTTGAGCTAACCAATGCGTTTTTCTTAAGCTATGTTAATGAACTATGTATTTACCCTAGACTCTGTCTTCAAGTAAGTTTGCCTAAGACTCAAAACTGATTTGATAAACCAGTATGTTTTACTCATGCAAACGTTCTCTTAAGTTATGTTAATAAGACTGTATTTGCTTGGAAACTTGCCTTTCTTCAAGATGCATGTCAATCATTTTATGACCTGGGGCAACTCACTTTGTACCAATGTTATCTCAAAATGTATGTTGTGGGTGAGGGGCCTGGTACCATTCTCTGAGTTTTGAGACTTTCCCTTTCTCTAATTAGCAGACTGCTAGTAGCTATATAACATCTGGCTAAAGACTAGCAGGGGTGGGGCACTCTTTCTGCCCCCTTTTGATGTCTATGTTAAAAGCTTTCTCTCTCTCTTTTATACTTTAATAAAACTTTTTTTTACACAAAAGCTCTGAGTGATCAAGCCTCGTCACTGGCCCCATATTGAATCCTTCCCCTTTGAAGGCCAAGAATCCCGGCACCTTTCGTGGCTCAGCAACAACCTTTCAGAATGAAGCAGAAATGATGCTCACTTGTGGATATGTCTGGTGGTGAAAGTAAAGACCACTGCTGTAAAGAACAATATTGTATAGGAACTTGGAATATTAGCTTCATGAATCAAGGTAAATTGGACATAGCCAAGCAGGAGATGGCAAGAATGAACATCGATGTCCTAGGAATCAATGAACTAAAATGGATGTGGATGGGTGATTTTAGTTCAGATGAACATTAAATCCACTACATGTGGGCAAGAATAACTTGAAAAAAATGGAATAGCCCTCATAGTCAACAAAAAAAATCCAAAATGATGCAATCTCAAAATGGCAGAATGATCTTGGTTCATTTCTAAGGCAAGCCATACATCACATGAATCTAAGTCTATGCCTCAACCACTGATGCTGAAGAAGCTGAAGTTGATTCTATGGGTCTATGAAGACCTACAGAGACCTTCTAGAACTACCACCAAAAACAGATGTCCTTTTCGTCATAGGGGATTGGAACACAAAAGTAGGAAGTCAAACATACCTGAAATAACAGGCAAGTTTGGCCTGAGGTACAAAATGAAGCAGAACAAAGGCCAACAGAGTTTTGCCAAGAGAATGCACTGGTCATAACAAACATCCCTTTCCAACAACACAAGAGACAGCTTTACATGTGGACATCACCAAATGGTCAATACTGAAATCAGATTGATTATATTCTTTGCAATCGAAGATGGAGAAGCTCAATATGGTGAGCACAAACAAAATCTGGGGCTTGACTGTGGTTCTAGATGATCAGCTCTTTATTGCAAAGCTCAGGCTTGAATTGAAGAAAGTAGGGAAAAATACTAGGCCATTCAGGTATGACCTAAATCAAATCTCTTATCATTATAGTGGTGCTGAATAGATTCAAGGGATTAGATCTGGTAGACATAGTGCCTGAAGAGCTATGGATAGAGATTCATAACATTGTACAAGAGGCAGTGACCAAAACCATCCCAAGGAAAAAGAAATGCAAGAAGGAAAATGATTGCCTGAAGAAGCCTTTAAAAAAGCTGAGGAAAGAAGAGAAGTGAAAAGCAAGGGAGAAACAGAAAGATATATCCAACTAAACATAGAGTTCCAGAGAAGAGCAAGAAGAGATATGAAAGCCTTCTTAAATGAATAATGCAAAGAAGTAGAGGAAAACAGTAGAATGGGAAAGATTAGAGATCTCTTTAAGAAAGTTGGAGATATCAAGGGAATATTTCATGCAAGGATGGGCACAATAAAGGACAGAAATGGTAAAGATACAACAGAGGTAGAAAGGATTAAGAAGAGATAACAAGAATACACAGAATAATGCAAAAAAGATCTTAAGTACCTGGATAACCACCTAGATCATCTGGATAACTCACCTAGAGCCAGACATCCTGGAATGGAAAGTCAAATCACGCTTCAGAAGCATTACTACCAACAAAGTTAGTGGAAGTGATGGAATTCCCACTGAACTATTTAAAATGCAAAAAGATGATGCTGTTAAAGTGCTGAACTCATTGGGAGAAGGGCATGGCAACCCTCTCCAGTATTCTTGTCTGGAGAATCCCATGGACAGAGAAGCCTGGCAGGCTACAGTCCATGGGGTCACAAAGAGTTGGACACGACTGAGTGACTAACACACACACACACACACACACACACACACAGTATGTCAGCAGAAAATTTGAAAAACTCAGCAGTGGTCACAGGACTGGAAAAAGTCAATTTTCATTCCAATCCCAAAGAAAGGCAATGCCAAAGAATGTTCAAACTACTGTGCAGTTGTGATTATTTCACATTCTGGTAAGATTATGGTCTAAATCCTCTAAGCTAGGAGTACATGCACCAAGAACTTCCAGATGTACAAGGTGGATTTAGAAAAGTCAGAAAAGTCAGAGATCAAATTGTCAACATTTTCTTGGATCATAGAAAAGATAAGGGAATTCCAGAAAAAACATCTATTTCTGCTTTATTGACTATGCTAAAACCTTCGCCTGTGTGGATCACAACAAACTGTGGAAAATTCTTAAAGATGGGAATACCAGGGCATTTTATCTGTCTCCTGAGAAACCTGTATGTGGGTCAAGAAGCAACAGTTAAAACTGGACTTGGAACAAGGGACTAGTTCAAAATTGCCTAAGGAGTAAGACAGGGCTGTATATTGTCATCCAGCTTATTTAACTTATACACAGAGTAAATCATGAGAAATGCCAGGCTGGATGAATCACAGGCTAGAATCAAGGTTGCTGGGAGAAATATGAACAACCTCAGATATGCAGACTAATGGCAGAAAGTAAAGGGGAACTGAAGAGTCTCTTGATGAAGATGAAAGAGGAGAGTGAAAAAGCTGGCTTGAAACTCAACATTCAAACCACTACTTGGTATCTGGTCCCACCACCTCATGACAAATAGAATGGGAAAAAATGGAAGCAGTGGGAGATTTTATTTTCTTGGGCTCCAAAATCACTGCAAATGGTGACTGCAGACATGAAATTAAAAGATACTTGCTCTTTGGAAGAAAAGTTATGACAAACCTGGACAGCATATTAAAAAACAGAGACACAATTTTGTTGACAAAGGTCTGTACTGTTAAAGCTATGGTTTTTCCAGTAGTCATGTATGGATGTGAGAGTTGGACCATATAGAAGGTTGAATGCTAAAGAACTGATGCTTCCAAATTGTGTTGTGGATAAGACTCTTGAGAGCCCTTTGGAATGCAAGGAGATCAAATCAGTCAATCATAAAGGAAATCAACCCTGAATATTCATTGGAAGGACTAATGCTGAAGCTGAAGCTCCAATACTTCAAGCACCTGATGCAAAGAGCTGACTCATTGGAGAAAACACTTATGCTGGGAAAAGACTGAGGGCAAGAGGTTAAAGGGGCAGCAGAGGCTGAAATATTTAGACAGTATCACTGACTCAATGGACATGAGTTTGAGCAAACTCTGAAAGATAGTGAAGGGCAGGGAAGACTGACATACTGCTATCCATGTGGATGCAAAGAGTCAAGCACGACTTAGTGACTGAACAACAAAATAGTGGGTGCCTAGGGGTAGGGTTATTGGGAGTAATTGCTAAAGATACAGGATTTCTTCTGAGGTCATGAAAATATTATAAAATTGGCAGATAATCATGGTAATGATTACACATGCCTGTTACTATATTAAAAACCATTGCATTGTCCACATTATATAGGTGGATTATATGGTATGTAAATTATATCTGAACAAATT